GTGTGTGTGTAGTGTGTGTGTGTGTTGTGTGTGGTTAGTGTGTGTCGTGTGTGTTGTGTCGTGTGTGTGTGTGTGTGTGTGTGTCGTGTGTGTGTGTGTGTGTGTGTGTGTGTGTGTGTGTGTGTGTGTGTGTGTGTGTGTGTGTGTGTGTGTGTGTGTGTGTGTGTGTGTGTGTGTGTGTGTGTGTGGGTGGGTGTGTGTGCCTTCGTGCTAGCGTATATAGGCTAGCTACAGCAGAATTGCTATGAAATCTTGCGTGTGCGTGCATGCGATATTTACGCACAATATTCCATATGAAAACAATCTCTATAAGTAAAGGTTCAAATAAACCTTTCTCGTGCGGCAAAAACGCAAATTACCCTTTACAAGTCACGCCATTTTATTTCGTTCCTCCTTCACGCTACCCCACCACCACGTTCCTCTGCGACGCCATTTTCCCTGCGTATATTCTCGCGAAATTTTCTGCGCGCGCGACTCTAGCGTCCGCAGCTTTCCAGCCTGTCCCAGAATCACGAGCCTGCATGTTTGCATAGAGTGAACGTACGCGTGGGTCCGGCTGCAGGACCGGCTAAGAAAAACACACACATTATAGCGTCTTGGCTGCCATGTACACGCAAGGATATAGCAGGTCGGCGTGAACCCTCATGCTGTTATGGGATGTATTATACCCCTGTGGCTGCCTGCACACACGACCGCGGGTCTTATAGTTGGCCACGGGGTTCACTCAACAGCTGCAGGTGATTTTTTAGACTAATTAAGCGACCGGCGGGGTCAAATAAAAATGGCAATTAGAAGTCGATACACCTTGGCAACTACAACATCATCACTCTTCCGCATTTGGAGCCTAAAGTAAAGTTGGTCCCCTGCAACCCGCACCCTCACACCGTCCCGCGCGACTTCACACCAACAATGCCACAGCAGCCGAGAGTACGTACTCAGACGTTTCGCAGATGATTAGCAGAATTAGTGACGACGCCAGTCACCTACGTTAGGTTCAACATCGCCGCCGGCGGCCCCCGTAGTCTATAATTAGACACCAATCATCTGCGCTAAAAATTAAGATGTTATCATGAATTTTTCAGCTGCGCGTGTGAAGACAAGAAGAATCGCTCGTTTCGGTATAACCTAATTCCCTCCCCGCCCCTCCCCGCATCTAAAAGGACGTAGAAATAAATAAATAAATAAATATATAAATAGGCCCCCTATATAAATTATATCGAGAAATATTCTTACACGGGGCGCGTTGACATGCGCCGATTGTTGTATAGGTTCCCCCTATAGGTAGCCGAGTATGCGTGTAGAATCATAGAGGCGTTAATTACTAAGAAGCCGCCATGTTGCTAGGGTTGTGTAGTTGTGTATGTGGTAGTGGACCGTAGAGGTATCTGGGCGATAGGGCAGGTGTATAAACGTGCATCTAGCGCACACACACACACACACACACACACACACACACACACACACACACACATATATATATATATATATATAGCACACTTGTGATTCGTGCCAGGTACTACTACTACAATAGACAATGCAATGTTATCGATCACCGAATCTAATACATTTACATTTTTGAATAATAATAATAGCAATTATGTTTACTCGCAAAATGGCCGCCTCCGGCGGCCATATTCGCTCGTTACGCTGATGATACTACGATGATTTCTCTAAATCCTGGCCCGATTCATAGTAATCTTTTAGTAAAATATTGACTTAAGACAATAATACAAGAATCCTGTTACTAACATGACATTTTCTGTCCCGGTATATTCATTTCTATATAAAACACTTTGTACACACCTTCTAATCCATTGTTTTTCTTTTCAAATTAAGGCTAATATAATATACGGAACCCGCTTAATACGATTATTTTGGCCCGTCAGTTTCGTACTAATGGGGTGCGACTGTAGTAATGAATTGTAGTAATTGAATGAGGAGTTTAGGCTTTGCAGTAATTGTATCTATTTGTGAACAATTTAACGCTACTAAAGTTCTTAATTATCCATATAAACCTATATAAAATATCTTGTACGCACCGTGTTTGTTAATTCGGGGTTAATATATGTTGAAGTGGTTAATACGAAACCAGCTTAATACAATTATTTGTCTTTTGCCCGTCAGTTTTCTACTAACGGGGTTTGATTCTTGGAAAAATGTAGGCAAACGCTTCGCAGTAATTTAGTAGTTTATATCCTCCTGACGTAGTGTAGACGCCGAACGTATTGGTCTTTCGCGCCGTTCAATTAACTGGTGGCGCTGCGTGGGTGCTCGTGTGCTATGATGCTGCTGCTGTGTTGTGTGCTGTGTGATGTGTGTGTGTGTGTGTGCTGCGTGTGCGTGTTGACGTGTGCGTGTGCGTGCGCGGTGGCGCCGCGTGGTGCTGCGCTGTGCGTGACTGTGTCTGCTCTGTCTGCACTCGATATTAGCAACGTTAGAAAGTAAAGAACTTCAAACTTGGTTGCAAGAAAAACTTAGCGTGGAACCCTATTGATTCTGAGTCGCCTTTCACCCCAAGGTCAAGGGCTCACAGGTTCCACAGTTGCAAGAATAGGATAGCATAAATAGATAGATAGATAGAGAATAGATAGCATAGATAGCAAAATTAGATAGATTGATAGATAGATATGCGCTGCGAGTGCGAGCGTGCAGCCGTGGAGCAGGAACTTGATTCACAGCCAGCGCGTGCTGCCCTGCGCGAAATCCACTGCCGCAATGGTAGTCGCGACCAGACTACTGTATCCCGCTTAGCCCTGTTGGTTGGCGTGTTTGTAAGTGCTACAGCCAGCGCCACCAGCCGGCAAGTGAACTGAAATCGTGCAGGCTTTTCCAGATCAGGAGATTTTCCATTACTATTTTTCTAATATGCGTTTTTTCAAACATATAACCCAATAACATGAATAAAAAGCCCAAAGTGTTAGAATCGAACCTGACGCCGCTAGGAATGGAAGCACAGAAAATTTTCAACGGATTCGTGCACGCCGCCTAGAAGCCATATTGCAGGCAACAAACAGAACGACACTACTCAAATTATTATATTTATTATCATTCCAGTCTCGTAGTTGTGCCTTATTTTTCTGCCAGGTGTCGCACCTGTTCCGGTCACCACCGAGCTTGAAATGTGCTATATATAACGCAAGAGATTGAAAGCTTGCTTCGTCGCTCAAGTGACGTCACGTCGGTACGGACTCAAACTCCTGTTTTAAGGTGCGTTGTGACCCTAACCCTAACCCTAACCCTAACCCTAACTCTAAAAAATAACCCTAACCCTATTAAAAACAAAATTAATTAAATTGTGTACAGTCGAAACTGTGACGTATGTCTGACGTATATGAGCGACGAAACAAGCTTTCAACCTTTTGCATATAGAACTTTACTATTCACTATAACGGGGTAAATGGGATAAATATCTGTATGCGACAGTATCGGACCGAACCACGACGGCCATGACGTGAACAGACATTCCTTCATGTTACATGCACGCGCGTATTTCACAGTATAGTAGAACTCACGGTCAACATCAAAAGAGGATGTATATGAATTATTCATCTCGTTATAAAATATAAAGAAATAAATTGCCATTGTGATGATGTTCCGGGTTACATAACAGACTGCCCTTATGCGGAAAGCGTCGACACTTCACTTGGCATACCTGCAGAAACCAACCCGCGAATGCTGACACACGCTTCTTTAGTGGATACTGGGATAAATTAATAAGAACTCTAGCTAATTCTGACATAGTTTCTCATTGGAAACTAGTGAGCACCGGAATTTCATTGTGCAATCTATCAGATGCTACGTGGGATAAATTGATGAGGGAAATTTTAGCACATGCCAGAATAGGTCATCTTTGCAGTAGGCATCAAGTTTGCTGTGTGTAGAGAATAAGTCAGAACACGACTGTTCCCCCTGACCAAGGCCTCGCCTCATGCACACGTATACGCATACCCCACGGGCGTATGCATATTCGAAAGTAGGTTAATTTCCCTTGTCTAGCACTCCGCACACAATTCACATGGACTTCTTCGAAATATATTCACGCGGCCACGTTAAATAGGTACAAGTATTTACCGGGTGCCCGTTAATTAGACTCAAGCGAGCACCCTATTATATAGCAGCATCTATACGTCTTGGGAACCTATTCTTCTAATAGCACCCGACATCTGTCCACAATGTACCACCTAAATAAACAACAGCCACGGCGCACTGACATGCTACCAGCATGTTACACCATCAGCAAGACGAGGCGGTTTTGCAATAGGTTTCTACGTGGTAGCCAGTAGCGCGCTAATCATGATGGTAGATCATTCATCATGTTTATAGAATAAATTGCGGTCGGGTGAAATCGGATATGTTCGGGTATATTTGTGGAGGAAGCCATGGGATGCTTGATAGGTGCTAGAATAGGCCAGTGGATGCTGTGTAGATGTACGAGATCTAACAGCACAGATTCTAGATGTAATCTCGAAGGTATGAAGTGTCAAATTGCTGGCGAAGCTTTGGGATGCTGCTAGAGACTGCTAGAGGTACCATCGTGTATAACCTATAGATTCCAAGGTAATCTAGCTTATCATACTAGATATCATATAGATCATATAGATCAATGGCTAGGCAGCTATAGGAACTCAGGCCGTCGGATGCTGAGATGTGGATACTGGGAGCTAATTCCTAGATGCTAGATGAATCATATCACGGGATGCCGAGACAGACTGTGTCTGTCTGTCGCTGCATTCGTATCCTACCAGTCTCTCCTCTAGCAGCAGCTGGCGTTCTCACACTGGGGTTTATCCCGCTTCAGGTCCGGACCTGAAGCGGGATAAACCCCAGTATGAAAGGTCGAAACACCCTTAGCCCGAGCTAAAGTTATCCTGC